TTCGGATTTTGGGCGAAACCGAAACTCAAAATCCGAAACGTTTCGGACTTGGGTAAAGGGTTTAGGCCGTAACACTACTCGTAACAGTAATAAATCCCAACCCGTAGTGTCCATTATATCCCGACGTAGTGTGGAATACTGCAATTATTGTATTAGTAGAGTGATAGTCTCGACATAGTGTAGACTATCCAGGATAAGCCAGACCCGAATCGAAATCACTCACCAAATTTACACGCCTTTTTCGACCGAAATCCGTCCGACCGTTACACGAAGTCGTCTTTCGATTAGCGACAGACTCGCCGAATTAGGACCTCTCAATAGATAATATACTCAATCATCTAAAATAGATATATGTCTAGTAGAAATAAGTACATGAAAAAAATTCCATAGGTGGGGTTGGTTAGAGGATAAAAAAATTCTCGAATTGCTTATCACTAATCGCTTCTGGTCTGTGAAAATGTAGTTCGATTCACCGCGATCAATGGTCCAGTGCCTGCATCACTACTTTTTATGCCAAGGATCTTATAAAGTAGATAAAATAATGGCCGTTTCAGAAATGCAGTATTATGCGATATTTATTTTCATATTCTTTTACCACTGATTTATAGAAATCTCAGCAACAACTCTACCTATAGGGACAATACGTAATTTAAGGTTTGAGTGATGCGTAATTTCGTGAAAATCATGATATATAATCATTCGTATGACTGTTAAGATCAGTTACGTTACATTTTTGCACTTATATTGGGTACATAAGAATCACTGCTGGGATACTGTCAGATTGTTAATTGCATTGAATTGACCAATTACAAAAAAGTTGGTATATGTGGTAGTACAAGCATAATTTCCTTTTTAGCTAACAATAGCGCTGATAATTATAAAAAAATAAAAAGGCGTCATTTTTTCATTCAGACTTTTAAAAATGTCGCAAGCAAATAGAGAACATAATATTAAAAGAAACGCTAAAGGAAAAAACAAGCAAAACAATAGTCGAAGTAACGAATGCTATAAATGCGGATTGCCGGGCCATTTTGCTCGTGACTGCACTAGTGAAAGTTCGCGAAAGCCTCACGAGACACCTGTCAAACCTAGTCCACATGAGATACATGATCTAGAAGAAAACCAATCCAAAAAATTATCAGATAGCTTTAATTCTGCAGAATTATCTTATGGTGGGTCTGATAAAATCGTTTTCACTCCATACGGAGATGAGCTTAAAGATGCATGGAAAAGATTTGTAAAGAAAGGATTGACATTGACCCATCAACATAAAATGAGACACTTTATTACATCGTGCCTTATAGTAGCGGACAAACAGGTGGGGTACGAAGTCGAAGAGCTTGTCACAGAGTTGGGACAGCCTGAAGGTCTGAAACGTATAAGGGAAATTGTCATGTTTCCCATGTCTGTAGATGCAGGGTATGTGTTATGAGTAATTTGACTAATTATATAAGATGACTATTTATCTTCTTTAAATACATCAACGAATTTAGGCTTGCTGGTGCAGTTGCTTCTTTTCAGCGTGTGATATTACCATTCATAGCTCTTTTAACTCGCTCAGGAATTACCGAATGCATTATGGAAAAATATGTCCATGCAATATTTTATGCTGTCTATTTAAATTTGGTAACATTTATTTATTTATTTGATTAATTGAACGTCAGTTATGTTATAATTTGACCTTATCCATTTTGTTAAAAGAATTCGTTTATGCTTGATGGAGTTATTACTATGTTAGAGACTCTAGTTCGAAGAAATGATATTGTTGACAAAAGAGTTAACCAATCTGTGTTGCTTGCGGATGACACAAGTGCATTCATACCTACTTCGTGTGTATAAGTAATTTTTCTGTAAATTACAAATTGACGTTTTCTGTCTAATTGATAATGCTATTTTTATAGAATGGGCCAATTCTTTTTGGTCATTGTTAGATTGTGCAATACATTTATGAAACGTATAAAAGAAGCATCGACGAATGAAACAATGTACAAAATTGTGGTGAAAATCGATCAAGCCAAAAAGCTATGGCAAAATACTCTTCAACAAGAAACTGGAAGCACATATAATGAACCACTTGCTTCTAATCTTGAGCTTAGAAAATATTTTTTCACTGTCCTTGATAAGGAAATGAACAGCATGAACAAAATGTTGAATTATGGCCAACGTAACTCGTTGTCTCAAGAAACTCGTAAAATTTCACCCGTAAATCCTAATAAGTCTGCCGCATATTATGGCAAATTGGCTAAAAAAGTTGCTTCGATGCTTGATTACGATCCTCCAGGTATGTTATTGATATTTCATATGTTTATATAACTAAGCCTTAATCTGGAACTTTTTTATCATTGAAAAGGAGAACTTTCTGAAAATGGACCACGCCATGATAATGATTTTAGCGACATATCAAAAATTTCAATTATTCCAACTAAGGATGAAGTGTTATGCAACCGCGATCCATTTTTACCTACAACAAATATGGATGACTCCTTGCACTATCTACCAAAAGGTACCGAACGTTTGCTTGACACTCAATTTCGTCTTCTCAGGGAAGATATGATGTGCCCTATGCGCCTTGGCATTGAAAAGTATGTATCGTTTATAAGCAAGCTAATTCAATTAAATTTAGGATTAATGTATTTGTGACCATGGTTATTGTAGTTATACTTTATAAAATTTATAACAACTCAAAATTTTACTAGGGTAACCCTGTCGTGTAACATAAGTAAAATGTTCCCGCAATTTTTACCCTAATCTACAACCCCTAATTTTAATTATAAGAGTTTTATTAAAAAAATTATTTTGATAGTCATATTTAGTCATGACTACGTTGCTACGTATATATTAATCCTTAAATTTAAGATTTAATTTAGAGTTCCGATCTATTATCCGTTTATCCAAATCTGAATTTTCGGATATCCGTTTTACTATTGATATCCGGATAATTATCCGAATATTTGTCGGATTATTCGGATACCAATAGTAAATGGATATCCAGATTGGACTCTATATTTATTAAAATTAACACTAATTTTTTTTTATGCAGCTTCATTAAATTTATCTCAGAATCAGCCAAAAATAACGCAAGATTACAACAGTTACAGGTGCATGGTGGAAGACACAAGTATAATGACAAGGAAGGCATGGATGGTGGCGACTTAAATGTATACGCCAATGTTCATTTTTCTGAAATAAATGTCGATCGAAGGCGAGGTTTTTCTTGTCGAATGGGTTTCACACAACCCAAAATGAGGCGCCATTTGGAAAGTAAACAAGGTCGATTGCAATATTGGAATAAAAGTGGAAAACTTATGAACGGAAGCTTAGTTTGTCTGCTGTGGCCGTCCGAAAATAGTTCATCTAATGATGGCCTTCAATTCTCTTTGTTCTTTGGAACGGTGTTGTCTCGTAACGAAGATTTATTATCTCAAAATCAGCATGTAGCATTGATTGACATTAGTTTTATTGATAGTCTGGTTTATCAAATTGCTTTGAAAGAAATAAAGAAAAAAAATTACGGTAATTCAAATGAACAGATGGCAGGGTGCTTTATGGTTGAATCTATAGGAGTGGTAGGAATTTGAGATTTGTTTGGAATGATATAAATGTATAAGTTGTGTTCTTTTTCAAATAAGTTTTTATATTTTGACGACATTATAGTACTTTGAGTCATATTTCCATATTTTAAAAACTCTTCAAACAAAATTACCATCAAATCTTCCTTTCGAAAAATATTTGGCACCGCAAATAATCGGAAGTTCATCGTTTTCTGTTGTTGATCCGCCTACATACGCCCGAGCACCCGGATTCGTATTCGATTTATCAGTGCTACTTAAAGATAAAAATAAACAGCTTTTACTAAACGTTGCTGACACCTCTTCTCATGAAACTGTTATTCAAAATCTTCAAGAATCGAGTAGGCTTGATAATACTCAAGGTACGTTGTACAGAAATATGTCATTATTTTTAAGAATTATTTAATTACTATTAATACCTTTATAAATTTTGATCAATATAGCACAATCCCTTGTGTATTCTTTATGTAGAGAAGTTGCTTTGATTGAAGGTTAATTCTTTTAAAACCGCATATCAATATATTCTACAATACATTGTATTATTATACTATTATATTTATGTAATAAAAATAAAAATAATGTTTAATATTATAGGACCTCCTGGAACTGGAAAAACTTTTGTCGGCGTTGAAATAATGAAAGTGTTAATAGCGAATCAGAAAGCTGCAAAGTTAGGACCAATATTGACGATTTGTTTTACTAATCACGCATTAGATCAGTTTCTTGAGGTAATGAATAATTAATTATATTTGGAGTATTGCATTATAAAGTGAAAGAATAGCTGAACATTTTATACCACTTTCAGAATTTATTAGATGCTGGCATTAAAAAAATTGCACGATTAGGCAGCCGATCAAAATCTGAAATCATTAAGAATTTTAGTATTGAAGAACTATGTCCAGATCGTGCTACTTCTAAACCTCAGAGAAAGATATTGGGTCAAGGATATGATGAACTTAAGAAAATTCAAAAAGATACTGAAAGGATCCTAAAAAATTTTTCTAGTAATTGGCTAGATTGGGATAATATTACTGGTTATTTGTTAGTAGAATATCCCAATCATTGGAGAGCTTTTCAGAATCCAGATATACCAAAATTTTTACTTAAAACTAATGATAAAACAGAATGGCAGCAAGTAATCAATGAGAAGAAGGAACAAGTAAACAGTAAGAATAAGTGGTCAATATTTCACCAATGGATTAGTGGAAACGACTTAGACCTTGCACAAAGATGTGCCAAAAAATTTCAAATTAACAAAACTGAACACAATACGAATACTAACAATAATAGATTTGAACTGCTTAGAGGCCTTAATAGCGAAGGAGGGTCTTCTACTGAAAATATTATAGACATCGAAAATACTGACATAGCAAATACTGAAAATATTACAGAGATTGAAAATACTGAAAATATTACAAACATTGAAAATACCACAAATATTGAGGAATCTAATGATATACAACGTTGGCTTCTTTCATGGGTAAAACCTAAAGGTGATCGGTCCTTGGAAGACCTAAAAAATGATCCTAATATTTGGCAAATGTCTTCGGCTGAAAGGATAAAATTGCACGACTTTTGGAAAGAGGAGATTCAATTAGATTGCCTTGATGAACTTTCCAGAATCAAAGGACAACACGAAAAGACGATAAATGAAATTGATATGGTTTACAGCGAAAATCGTCGTCAGGTTCTTCGAAATTGTGATGTAATCGGAATGACAACAAATGGAGCAGCAAAATTTCAAACTTTAATTGGCTCTATTGGTAAGGCCTTAAATAGTTATTAAATGTCAGGGATGATTTTGAAATTGGAATCTGAGACCTTTAATTTGGAAATATAAACCTACTAAAATCCACCTACCGTATTCTATCGTAAATAAGCACCATCCCCTCTACCTCATTTTTAAATGTCAGACTAGCGGAACTCACATTGAGATATTTAGCAATGTTATTTCCACTAATCTGACCTTCAAAAAAAAAAATGGGGTAGAGGGGACAGTGCTTATTTACGGTAGAATACAGTATGCTCTATTATAATAAATTCTAACCTAACTATAAAATTAATTGTACATTATAATTTTAGGTCCACGTATAATTATTTGTGAAGAAGCGGGCGAAGTTTTGGAGGCACATATTTTGAGTGCACTAACGCCAAAGACACAACACATGATCCTTATTGGTGATCATAATCAGGTACGTACGAATGGTTGCTTTTTTGGAGGGAAATAGGGAACTAACATTTATAAGTAAATATGTGTCCCTTCTCAGGCCCAGGTATTTGGAAAACCACTTGCATATTTTTATGCACTCTTGCATCATTATGCATAATTATGCATAAAATGTGTATAATTGTATAATTATGCATTATTATGCAAGGGGGTTCCAAATACCTGGGTCTGAGAGTGGATCGCAATAAGTGTTAATTCCCTTATCATAGGATGGCTTTTATATGTTTTGCCATTAAAATCTACTTTTTAAAAAAATAAACCTATAAAGAATAAAAAAAAAAAAAAAAAAGTATGTCGAAAATATTATAAGAATTGTAGGACTCCACTGTTTGACTATGACCAAAAAATCTCTGTTTTAGGGAAGTCAACAAAATAATATAGATAAACTTAAACAGCCGATCATATAAAATTCATCCTATGAAAGGAATAATGAGTTAGATTTTTTTTTTTTTATGAGTTTATTTTTTTTTTTTTTTAGCTTCGCCCTCATTGCGCTACATACACTTTAACAAGTGATTCGAAAATTGGAATCAATTACGCTCTTGATAAAAGTCTTTTCGAGCGTCTTGTTAATGGTGATCGAGCAATGTGTTTAGAAAAATCACAATTGCATACACAAAGAAGGATGAGAAGAGAAATTTCTGATTTAATCCGGTGCACGCTCTATAAAGATCTTGTTGATGAAGAAAATATTGTTGATTATCCAGACGTACGCGGTGCTCAGAAAAATGTTTATTTTGTGGATCATCGCCATTCTGAAGATTCTGGAGAAAATGTTTTTGCAATGAATTCTCATTCGAACACCTATGAAGCTAAAATGGTAGTAGAAATTGTTAAGGTAATTGATTATTTTGTATCTTTGATAATTGCTGAATAATATGTATGAATCTTATTTATGCAAACATTATGTTTTCGCTATTCTATTTAGTATTTTTTTCGCAATGGTTACGATAAACAAGGTCAAATTGCAGTATTGACACCATATCTTGGGCAGCTCATTAAAATAAGAGATGCACTGTCGAAGTCATTTGTTGTGGTAATTGACGAACGTGATGATCAATTGATTACTAATATGGAGGAAAGCATAGATGATGAAAATAAAAACCTAGATGGAGAACCAATGTATTCTACTATTGGAAATATTGCTTCCAAAAAGAAATTGTCTCAACAGGTAATTGTTAAGAATTGTTATTGAAATGTAATTCATTTTGATTCCGTAAAAATCCTTATTTCTTTTTATAATTAAAATAGGTAGTTCTTCGCACGGTCGACAACTTTCAAGGAGAAGAAGCTGATATAGTGATTATATCACTCGTTCGTAACACGAAAAATGAGAATGATCGTGGAAATATTGGCTTCCTGAAGTCAACAAATCGTTCTAATGTTCTTTTATCTCGTGCAAAACATGGCATGTTTCTTTTGGGTAATGCAGAAATTATGGCAAGACATTCAGATTTTTGGAAAAAAGTTTTAGAAACTTTATACAAACGTGGCCAAGTTGGGCCAGGATTCCCAATTGTGTGTGCTCGACATCCAGATTATAAGAACATCATATATGAAGACAAACAATTCAATGAAATTTCCCCTGATGGTGGCTGTTTCGAGCCCTGTAAGTTTTTTTTATTACAATACATTTATTATACAATTGCTAGATGCTAAATTATAATAAAATTTCATAGGCGGTCAACAGCTTAAATGCGGACACATATGTAGGTTGGCGTAAGATTTGTATACGTATGCGTATATCGATATTAATATTATTAGTTGTTAAATTACTTGCAATTATAGGCCCATATAAATGTCATCCAGATGATCCACAACATATTGGAGTTTTTTGCCGAAAACCTTGTACAAGATTATTACCAGATTGTCAACATCCTTGCAGAAATAAAGTGTGTGGAGAAAGTTGTGGAAAATGTTTTTGGCCAATTGAAAACATTATATTACCATGTGGACACGAATATAAAAATGCCACGGTTTGTGACTATACAGTATATAATAAAGTTTTATTATGCTTCAAAATCAGAAATTATTTAACATTATTTTCAATTCGAATAGTGTCACGATAGTAAAAATATATATAAAATCCTTTGCAAGGAAAAGGTGATAAGGAAATTGCCTAAATGTGAACATGAACATTTAATGGAGGTAAAAAATGATCCTTTATATTGAACATTTATTAAATTTTGTTTTGCTGATTCTCATTTTGGTTATTATAGTGTTATGTATCAGTCGGTGATTTTGAATGTACAGAAAAATGTAGGAAGCTTCTTCCATGCGGACATTCCTGCGCGTCTACATGTTTCGATTGTCAGAAATTATCTGAGAGAGCAAACCAAAATCCACTCTTGTATAACATGGGACAGATTGTTAGATCGAATCACAAAAAATGCACACAGAAATGTGAAAGGTAATTTTTGAAATCGAATCTACTAATATGTGTTCTTATTGTAAACTAATACAATCACGTATTTATGCACAAAAATAGAAACTTATTTTGTGGTATAGTTGCTTCTATTTATACTGCATTCTTTTAATGTTACAACTGTCTACAGTTTATTATCTTTTCCAATATAAGGTCACATATGTAAAGAAAAATGTCATGAGGGTCGGTCATGTAAACCTTGTGAAGGTCTTTGCAATGTTTCTTGCATGCATTCGAAATGCAAATTAGCCTGTGCAGAGCCTTGCTCAGTTTGTGCGGAAGGTAGGTAACAACCATAAATTGGTATAAATATATCTAATATTTAATTAATAATTGGATTTTATAGCATGTGGGTGGCAATGCAAACATGAGGGTATTTGCAATTTGCCATGTGGTGTACCTTGTAGCCGACTCCCGTGTAATTTGCGATGTGAAAAATTACTAAACTGTGGACATCAATGTTTTGGACTTTGTGGTAAGTTTTATAATCATAATGAATCAAATTTCATAATATTGTTATTATAAACTAATGTGCGTTGTTAATTTTTTAATTTTTTTTTTTTTTTTGATTTTGATATAGGCGAAAAATGTCCTCTACCAAAATACTGTGCAGATTGCACTACAGATGATAATGTCAAGAATCAAGGTTTTTATTTAGGACCAGGATGATTGTTATTAATTAAAAGTTGTTTTTAATTTAATTTCGATCACAAATATTAGTTGTTGATTTGATTATGCAAGAGACATTTGCAGAAGTGGATTGGACTTTCGAGAGAATGGTCGTTTTAGACTGTGGACATGTATATACAGCAGAAAGTCTCGATCATCTGATGGACATGAAGGAATACTATGAAATGGACAAAGACAACAACTGGACTCGAATCAAAGCAATTACTTCACAACCAAGTGAATCTAAAAAATGTCCACAATGCCGTGCTCCTATTAAGAATATTTATCGTTATGGAAGAGTAACGAATAAACATGTTTTGGATGTTCAGAACAAAAAATTTTTGATGAAATATGATAACTATTTGAAGAAACTAAACAAAGACATAACAATTGCTACAAGGCAACTAGAAAATAATCGAAAGAAATTTTTAGAAGAAATCCAAAAACCGTTGAAAACTCAAGGAAAAAAAGAAATGAGTAATGTAGAAAAAGATTCAGCATTACAAGAAGTTATATCAACAGAGCAATACACGTCGCTTGAAGAATATTACTCTATTCCAATAATACATGAAATAGAATGGATGAAACATATACCCGTACTTCTTGCCATATATCGAAAGTTAACACTATTGATGTTTGAAACTAAATCTCCGCCATATAAACTTGCATATGAGGCTGCAGTATCTCTTTTGTAAGATAATAATCATGTTTATTTTTTAAAATTTAAGGAAATTATTCAACTTGAATATATATTTTTTCACTTTAAATTATTATAGGTATGCGTCCAAAACTCGAACTAATATATATGATCTCGGCAAAAATTTTGAATCCTTGGGCAATTTAGATTATGATTCACCTGCTCATCAAAATCTTAAACTTCAAGAAACTTTGGCGGAAGTTGGATTAATTGCTCCAAAAATAGATGTCCGCATATATCTTGATGCATTTTTTGAGATAGTTAATATTCAAAAGATCATTTTCCATGAAGTTTCCCAGGTTATTCCTGAATTGACAAAAGAAACAGAAACTGAAAATAATCCTGTTTCTTATGATAAAAATTGGATTGTATTTGGTGAATGTGCAATTGTAGCAATTAAAAAACACCTCGATATTATAATTACGACAGCCCAAAAACATAATTATCTTCGTCATGTTGTTTTATCATCGCTGGAGTTGGCGGAAATTGAATGTAAATCGGAACGGTTTAGGCTCAAACATCCTCCTAATGGCATAGTAAATCCTATCATTGCGAAGTCTGTAAAAAATAGATGTGTCGAGATTGAAAGGATGTGCGAATCTATTTGTAATATGTTTTCCACAATGAATGTTGAATATTTTGAAAAAAAATGTAAGGAAAGAATTGAAGAAATTCGCCGAGAAATTTCTGACCTTCAGGTTGCGGCAATGAGAGATAGGCCTTTAACATATGAAGAAAAGCTTCAAATTTCTAAAGCAATGAGTAGTGAATTTCTTGGATCAGGAGTAATATATCTATATATTTTTTTAGTTTGCTTTTGTACTTTTAAATTAGTATCAAATTAATTTGAAACTTTCTCGACAAAATTAAACCTTAGCATTGGTATCAATGTCCAAATGGACATGCTTATACAATCGGTGAATGTGGAGGTGCGGTGCAAACTAGCCGGTAATTTAATTTGACAAATATTATATTATAACCTCGATCAAAACTACATTTGTTTTATTGTAAGACACAATAGAATTAACTTCTATATAGACATTATCATAGTCACAATAGCAACAAATTTTGGTCGCTAATCCAATGATTATATCGAGGTTAAGCTGTATTTTTTAATTTCTTACTGATTTGTATTCCTGATATTTTAGTTGTGTGGAATGTGGTGCGACAATTGGTGGACAAGGTAATTTTTTTTAAATATTCTTATTTGCAAATCATTGAAAAAGATCTATTGTTTACTAAAATATGCATTTAAGGCCACATGCTTACTGCTGGGAACAGGATTAATGTGGAATTTGACACCATGACAAACCATCGCTATTAATTAATTTGTTTTTTTTAATCTGATTGATCAATTTCAAGTACTGTGATCATCCATACAAGAGAAGTCATACAAGAGAAGTCATTTTTGGACGTTAGGACATGCACAGATACTAGTTAAGATTAAATTTGGTCTCTAGAATAAATTAAAATATCATTTGTTTACAATTATGCTTTTGACATTAATTATTATTAGCTTTTCATTAAAGGATTACAAAAGTTTAACTTACTACAATGATATTGAATATATATATAAATATATGTTTGTAAAATATTTGTTATTAAGCAAGGATTCATTGACATATAATAAAAAAAACTCTCTTGTTTGGAATGTCTCTTGAATTTTATTGAAATGCATAAAAATAAAACATTAAATGATCAATAAAATGAATATTCTCTATCTGATCTAATGGATAGTATTCGTTATAATGAAGTCATCGACTATGAAATTTTCTTCACTATATTAAGAGGCTCTCATTATAGTGAGGATATTATATTAAAGATATAAATCTTCATAACAAGAGAAATTTAAAATACAGTACTTAAATCGAATATAGCTGACCCCACAAATGCACACTTTATAAGCGCACTTTAAATAGTAGTATTATTCTTAATAAATATACATTTTATAAGGCATTTGTTTCTAGTGAAATGCATTTATAAATTAATTAATAGATCTCATATAGTGGTTGTACTTGGTTAAAAAACGCTACCTGGTTAACCCACAAGTAAATCCTAGTGATCGAAAGATATATCCGAGTAGAAAATTTTACTCGTTGTACCTGAGTAGGCTATTAAATAATTTGATTTTTGCAAATTTCTTGAATCGATTTTCATTATCATCTACTAGATTATATTTTTAAATTTAACACACTAGGATTTACTGGACGCTTAGAAATACTGTTTTTGATTGAACGAAATTGATTACAAATTCTGATCTGACATCATGACTGAAGAAAAACAAAAGGCCATATTAATTCAAAATTAAATATAGATGCTATTAAAATTTTGCGGGAATGTTTTTTATTAAGACACGAAAGGCGGTTTCAATAGTAAAATTACAATTTACCGAAAAATTTCATAATTTTTATGTTACACCGGATCTAATCTATTTTTTGATATATCTGGCCTGCATTAACATATTTAGCTAATTCCTAATTAGGATTCATTTATTTATTTGCATTGTTACGGGGTAAAGTGTATTCTTTCTTTTAGTGTTAGATTTTTATATTGACAACTACCCCAACAACACCATAAAAAATTTTCGGTAACACAACATTTTGTACTACATACCGACCAATAGCATTTTAC